GCGATCAAACTCACATAGCACACCGACGAAGCCTAGTCCTGCGAGTACTGCTGTCATTAAGCGAGAAGAGATGAACGTCAATATTGAAGGCATCCGGGTTGTGCTTATTGGTGATGTACATGAACTGCCAATGCTGGATTGGCGTGTCAAGAAGTTTGGTATTGATGTCCGGGACTGGTCAGGTGCAATGATGGTGGATACAAACCTGGACACCCTCATCAACGTCTACAACTTTTCCAAATCGGCTTGGGAACCGTTGATTGAGCCTTGGCAGCTGGGCTTCCATATGGCGAAGGACCAGAATCCAGATAAACTCTCTGTCGAACTCTTCTCACGCCGATCACTGGAATTGACAGTCACGTCAGCGACAATAGCCCTTGCCTCAAAGTCATTTGATTTTCTTACGGCCGATGAGGACATCTTGTCGAAGCCTCGGCGGGCTGATGCTCCATATCGAATACGGAACTACACCGGCTTCAGTCTCGATGTCTGGGCTGAAGGACAGGACAATCTCGAAGGTTATGCTGCCAAACTTGAAGACGGCGATGAGCAACCTTGGCGGTTTGAGGACGCCTCAGCTACTCGAGAGACCCTGTCAGCGGAAGCAGCTACAGGAGTCGTGGGCATCAGACTAGAGGGCAGTGGATTTGAAACCCTGCCCCGTATACCGGTTCATCGTGAAGGGGAGTTCCTTTACAATCTCAACCCCAGACAAGACCGTGTGCAACACCGCCTCCTTGTCGAGGTCAAACTGGGTGCCGATAACGTCAAAAACATCACCTTCCGGTCGCCTTTATTAGTAGAGAACAACACCCAAATCCCAGTGGAAGTGGGCATCTACAGTCCTGAAGATGGTCACCTGTTGAAGATTGAGAAGGTAGCGCCGGGAGACGCTCGGCCAGCCCCAGTTGGAGCTGCGTTCATGCACTCGGTTGTTGTACGTCCAGACCAAGGCTTTGGATATACTTGGTCGAATGAACGACTGTTCTGGAAAGATTTGCTCAAGCGGCCTACGAGAACCATCACTTGTCGTGGAGAACAGGATGACCACTCACCTCCGTTTTATTTCCAGATGCATGCGGCTTTTGACAAAAAGAACCCATTGACAAGGTTTGTTACACTCCTTAGGGAATTAAACCAGCTAACCATTTCAGCGTTTATCCCTACATGCGAATCCGTCTTTCGGCTCCAGTGGAAGTCCAAAATCTACTACCTTTCGACTTCAAATATCGGATTTATGATAGTAACACCAAAAAAGACTGGACCAACTTTCTTCGCAAAGGCGGTGTCAGTCCAGTTCACGTGGTTGAGCTCTCTCATCTCCTTCTCCTTAGCGTTGATATGCAAGATACCCCATTCAAACCGAGCAAATTTGGCATCATCAACTCCACAGACCGTGAGAGTTTCAGAAGAGAGAAGACGTTAGAGGTCAAGGACAATAATGACCAGACTCTACATCTGAACATGCACTTCTAGTAAGCGATAAACGTTCCAGGATAGAGTTGCGAATTGGGTTGCTGATGCACTTCTAGTAATAAGCCTGATGGTGGCGGGTCGTTCAAGGTGACAATATTCAGCCCATATATCGTTCTGAACCGAACCGGTCTTGAACTCGATGTGCGGAGCAAGACGTTACTCGGCCAATCCCGTGCTACCGCTGGACAAAATGTCTTCGCCAATGCTGCGAGTGACACCCAAAAATCTGCGCCTTTCATGTTCTCTTTCCCAACAGATGATAAGAGAAACCGCGCTCTTATCAAAGTCGGAGACTCCAACTGGAGCAAACCGCAGAGTTTTGATGCTATCGGAAGTACTTACGCAGTCACACTTCCTTCGATCAAAGGGAACTCTGATATGCATATTGGCATAACTGTCGCTGAAGGAGAGGGCAAGTATAAGTTGAGCAAAGTGGTGACGATCGCACCGCGGTATATTATCAAGAACAAGCTCAAAGAAGAAGTAAACATCCGGGAGCCTGGGTCGTCTGAGTGGATGTCTGTGAAGGATGGTGAACTGCTTCCTCTTCGATGGTTACGACAAGGCGGCAACCCCCAGCTGTCGCTTTGTTATCCCGGCGTTAACAATCAGTGGTCATCTCCATTCAACATATCTAATGTCGGCAACGTTCACGTCAAGCTTTCGAAGGCCGGTCAACGTCAGAAATTGATTCGAATCGATATTCTCATGGAGAAAGGCACTATTTTCCTTCATTTGAGCGTGGAGACGAAACATTGGCCATTCTCCATGCGCAATGAAAGCGACCAGGAATTCCTGTACTGGCAGGCCAATCCTAATATTGGCGAAGACGAGGATGATCGTGGTACTGGTTTCAGGCCAATTAGATACCGTCTCCCCCCTCGAAGCATCATGCCGTATGCCTGGGACTTCCCAGCGGCGAAAAACAAGGAGATCGTGTTGAGCGCCAATGGAAAAGAACGACATATCAAGCTTGCTGAGATTGGCAACTTGATACCTTTCAAACTGCCTCCGGTTCCGGGCTCCAGTCGGCAAAAAATTATTGATCTCAATGTTGTTGCAGCAGGTCCAACCCAAACACTGGAGTTGAGTAACTACAAACCTTCAAGGAGTTTGTACAAGCAAAAGTCAGGACCAGGCTCTGCAACTTCATCAACCACTGGCGGATTCGAAGTCAAGGACGTGGATACCAATGTAACCTTCACAGCTCAACTCCGGCTTGCTGGAATAGGTGTATCCCTCATCAATCGTCAATTGCGTGAGTTGGTATACATCACGCTGCGGGACATTGAAGTCAAATACTCCGATTCTACACTTTATCAGATGCTCAATACAACCGTCAAGTGGATCCAGATCGACAATCAGTTGTATGGTGGCATTTTTCCAATCATATTCTATCCCAGCGTTGTGCCCAAGACAGGGAAAGAGATGGAGGCGCATCCGATTTTTCAAACCAATATCACCCGAGTCAAAGATGACTCTTACGGCGTGTTATATATCAAGTACTTCACCGTTCTTCTCCAGCAGATGACAGTGGAAATCGACGAGGACTTCATATTCGCCATGCTTGATTTTGCCAAGATACCCGGTGCATCTTGGTCGGAAGAAAAGGAGGGAAAGCTGTGCGAAGAATCCTTGGATATCCCTGAGCCTCAGGTAGAGCAAAATGGCCAAGATGTATATTTCGAGCTTCTCCATCTCCAGCCAATGCAGATTGACCTCTCATTCGTACGAACGGAACGCATCAATGCAGAGGATACCACATCGTCTTCGAATCCGTTGATGTTTGCAGTCAATGTCCTCACGATGTCTATTGGCAATGTCAACGATGCCCCGATCAGATACAACGCCTTGATGCTGGAAAATGCTAGGGTTTCTACCGAAGCGTTGCTCAACAACATCAAGAGTCATTATGTTCAAGAAAGTCTTCGACAAGTGCACGTCGTTCTCGGCTCGGCCGACTTCCTTGGGAATCCGGTCGGCCTTTTCACAAACGTCAGTTCTGGTGTTGCGGATATCTTCTATGAGCCGTACCAAGGGCTCGTCATGTCGGACAGACCTCAAGACCTCGGCATTGGAATCGCAAAGGGTGCTTCAAGTTTCGTCAAGAAGTCAGTTTTCGGTTTCTCGGATAGTATGTCCAAGTTCACCGGCAGTATGGCCAAGGGTCTGTCAGTGGCAACTCTAGACAAGGAATTTCAAGACCAGCGTCGCATGTCCCGATCCAGAAATCGCCCAAAGCACGCTCTTTACGGTATCACATCCGGGGGAAATGCCTTCTACAGCAGTTTAGCGAGCGGAATTGGCGGTCTTGCTCGCCATCCCATTCAAGGTGCTGAAAAAGAGGGCGCGCTGGGTTTCGTCAAGGGCGTGGGTAAGGGTCTCATGGGCTTGCCAACTAAGGCCCTGATCGGCGGCTTCGATCTTGCATCCAACATGGCCGAAGGAGTCCGCAACACAACAACCGTTTTCGACCAAGAAGGGCTCGACCGCGTCCGTCTCACGCGCTTCATCGGCGAAGACGGCATTGTCCGCCCCTACTCACAGCGTGAAGCCCTCGGTCAGTTCTGGCTTAAAACACTCGATAACGGGAAATACTTCCATGAAGACTACATCGCGCATCTCGAGTTGCAAGATAAGGATATGCTGGTCATGTTGACGTATAATGGGATTATGCTTGTGAGGACGAAGAGGCTGACAACCGAGTGGGATGTCCCGTTGAAGGATATTCAGACTATTAGTAAGGAGAGGACGGGGATGAGTATCTTTCTGAAGGGGGGCGCCAATGGGCCATTTATTCCTGTGGCGGATGAGGGGGCCAGGAACTGGTTTTATCGGCAGGTTGCTGTGGCGGTTAATGCTTTTAATGATCGGTGGAATGCTAAGGGGTAGGGGTTGGGGTTGGTAAATGATTCTGACGGCTGAGAAGTTCTCACTGGTTGTTATGCGTTCAATACCTGGGTCTTGATTATTATTATTTTTTGGAAGTTGGGAGATTGACAAAACTTTTCGTGTAGACAATAGGTTTAGATTGTTCTTGGAGGGGCATTCATACTGCTCTTCATTGTTTCATATTAATCTCCTTATTCATCGTCCGTCTTTGACAATAGTTTATCTCAATCCTTTGTTTTCAAGTTTGTGGACTGTATGCTTCCTTGCTTTTTTCTGTTTTGCTAAGTCAATTTTATAGAGTAATATAGTGAGGTGTCTCCACGTTCTATTACTCTTCCTCCCTTGAATCCCAGTTAATATGAAAAGAAAAGCAGGGTTTAGGAGTGAATCTTCTTCTATACATCCTTCTCAACTCTTCCTTCGTGAAAAAGCTTTTTATATTAATTAATGGTACGGAGTAGTCTGGAGGCATTTAAGAGCTTAGTAATATGTCATACTTCCTTATCCCGCACCTGACCCTTGTTAAACCATGTGGAGTCCACCCACCTTCCAGACTGCCCCTCCACCGTACCCACCCCACATTGCTATATATACTTATATAAATTTACAATAGTAAATTTTTTGTCAAGCAAGGCTGGGTGGTGTAGTTGGTTATCACATCTGTCTAACAGTAGGAGTTGAATAAGTTCCACTGGTGTGTGCACAGAAGGTCCCGAGTTCAAGTCTCGGCCGAGTCAGCTTTTCTTTTTTGACATTTACAGGTTTAGTTAGTATGCTTCTCTTTTTGCTTGCTTAGGTATATATATATAATAGTAAGTTTCTACAAATTCATATATAGCTTTGTCTGGGTGGGAGGTTTGCCTAATCTGGGGCTTCCGACTATTTGATTCTGCTCTGCACCATGCATGTTTTCACCTAGTTTCACCGTTTAAACCACCCGCAACATAGCTAGATATAGTACCTCCTAATAATATTTTAGCGCTATGATAGCCTTCCTCCTAAACCTATCTCCTTTTTCCCACATTTTTACAAAGTATTTTTCATGTAGGCTTGATTCAAAAGCTATATATATAGTAAGATAGTTTGATATAGGGAGAAACCGAGTTCTTGATTTTTCTTTCGAAGACTTTAAGACAGGAAGATAGGCGATGAAGTTAAAACTAGTATATAGAAAAGGGAGACTCCGTAAGTCGACCATGTCGGCACACCTATATGATATATTCCCGATTCGCCTTCTTTTCCAACTCCAAACTCCCTTTCCCCTTCTTCTAAACCGAGGATTACTCTTCGAATCCCCCACGAGCATCATATTAACATATCTTGTATATACACACTGGCGGTCAAAACCGCAGAGGATGTTAACAAGAAGATATTCCGGACAGCATATATGACCTTAAAGGGCTTTAGGAGGTGCCAAGGAAGAAGGTTCGAGCCTAGGGATTTGGGAGAGTGAATATCGGACTGCAGATTATTGCATTTAGGTTTTATTGGAGGTTGGAATTGCAAGAATATAGTGTAGAAGGATACTATAACTATTCAAATCTTGTTTAGAGAACTTTGTAGGTTATCAGAGTGGAATGCAGATGAGCTAGTAGCGAGTCAAAGTATAGCTCTTCACCACATCACATCACGTTGGAAAACCTGAAATAGATCAACTCTATACGCAGTAGAACAAACAATACTAGTAGCTTCTCCATAATTCCTCAATTTACTCACCATGCGTGAAAGTGAAATCAACCAAAATTCTTCCAGTTCCTTGAAACCCTTCTGTCGACCCGATTTGAGAGACTAGGACGATATCGTGGAGCACCGCGGTTAAGGCTCATCGTCCACGCATGCGAATACTACTTTTCTAGCCCGAGGGTCGACTCTGGGCATATCCATTTCTTTTTTGGGGGCTCTTTTCAGATTGGCGCTTGGGGACTCATGTGTTGAAGGAGGGTGGGCTTGGTTGATTTTGATCTTTTTATATAATAGTTATGGAGATGGATTTGGTATATTTCCTTGATGTTGCTCATGCGAATATTGAATCGGGAGCGGAGAGGGACTTCTCATGAGCACTGGTCGGTTCTACTATTACAATGCTACAGCTATCTGCCTAAGCGTGCTCTGACCTATTCTCTGGAGAGAAGATACACTCTAATACCTCTTTTCCTCAGTAAAAGCTCACCATGATCGCCCGCCTTCGATGAAAAGGACGACAGCATTGACCATTCGTGATCCTTCTTCTCCTTCTTCTCCTTCTTCGCCTTCTTCTCCTTCTCCTTCTTCTCCTTCTTCTCCTTCTTCTTCCTTCTTCCTCATCGCCCATCATGTCTTACTCCATCAGTTCTTCAAAAATCAGCAATCCTCGTCCCAATACCCCTCTCATCCGCTAACCGAACCAACCCATTGCCCACAACTACATCCATCAAGCCTAAACCAACACTCTTGTAGATTACGTTGCCCTTCTGTAACCACTCAACAAGGTTCTTGTCGCCACCGAACTCGTCTTTCTCCTCTCCGTCCTTCTCCTCCTTGCGCTTATGGCTGTGCTTGGCCTTTTTTGCTTTGGCCAACTCCACACCAGTACTATCCAGTGAGATGTCTGAAGATGTGGCTTCTTTCCGCCGGCGCTCCGCATCTCTTTTCAGCATGACCAATTCCCCAATTTCCACAACCTCTCGGCCGCCAATACCCGCTTGTATGATCTCTCCGGCTTCCTTCAAGCACGCCTCTACACTATCAACAATAATTGCACCCCCTTGCCGGGCGTGTTTGTGATAGTGGTGTGAATGTTGTGGAGCCACGTTTTGACGTATGATATCCGGGTGAATCTCCACCATATGGGATTTATAAGACCCAATAGCAGCAATATATCGGCCTTTTTTCCTGCCTTCAGGATTGGTGAGGTAGGACGCTGGAAACAGCGGTTGCGTACTCGGTGTTGTGCAGAAGATTACTGAACTTCCCCTAACGGTAGCTTTGAGATGTCGTTCATACTCCTTATGCCCCGGAGTGATGATACTGAACTTCGGTCTTGCTAACCGCTCACCCTCTCCTATATTCTTGGGAGAGTACAAGTCCTCGAGGAGTTTCTGTGCATTGGCGAAAGACCGGTTTATTATATTCAAATGATGAATCTCTGGGCCTCGAAGCAACAACGCCAGCCTTATATGCCAGTACGCTTGTTTCCCGGCACCGAAAACCGATATATCGTGCACGTTGGATCGTTTTTTGAAGAGCATGGTGGACGCCAATGCGGTGCGGAAGGCGGTAATTTCTTCGGCATTGAGGAAGGCTCGTGGTGCGCCGGATTTGTCTAACAATGTAATAGAACCTCTGGGTGTTGTTGCGGTTTGCAGATTGGGGTTGTGGGAGCTGGGATTAGGTGTCACAGAGCGGGACTCAGGGACGTCGAAGGCGGTTGTGGAGGATGGGGAGGGGGTGGAGAGAAAGAGTGAATCTACGGACGACGGCAAGGAGACTGAATCCCCATCGTGCGTAGCTTTCGACTGAGGTCTGTTGGCTGTAGGGTCCGAAAGTGTGACTATCTTGACACCGAGCCCGTCGTTGCTGCTCGCCGGCATAAAGAGCGTCGTTTGCCCATCATTACGCTTCAATGCCGTCCGCAAAGGCTGGAAGGACGAACAGCACCCATTGGCTTCTTCTTCCGTCGCAGTGGAATAGTAATGGAGGGCGTCGGCGAGGGACTGCTGGAGATCTAGGATGTCTGATTTGGTGAGGCCGTGAAGGAGAGTTCGAACCTCGGCGTCAGTGAGGATAGTCAGAGGCATTGAGTCGAAGACACTTGGATGGTTTGGTCAGTTGGAAAGGTGGTCTATATGAGAGGAGTTGTACGGAGTGTATGGGGTGCTGGAGAGTAGCCGAGTTGATAAAATGAAAACGGGATTGTATGCGTACATTGCCGTTTCCCCTTCTCCCCGAATGTTGTTTGGCGGGGGAGGGGCACTTTGGCTTAGATAATGACGCAGGTACAAAGGGTTGTGTTCTAAATTTAAGTGTCACTGTATGCACTCCACTATTTTGGATAGACAGCCGTTAACACGAGCTAAATCAGTAGTTGTGTCGAATTTCGATCGTCTACCAAGGTCAGTCGCTATGGTGAGCCACAGTGAGGGTTGCAGCATCTTATCATGTCACAATCCAAATTCGCGGTGTATGAACATAATGAAATTCGTGAGGATCGTGATGGATTATACTGGCTATTGCAGCTAACTGATCCTGCTTTTGTCCGTCCTGAACACCTTGATAATGCCCTAAGCCGGTAGTACCCTTACAGACAATTCGTCTGAGCCCATGAAACGGAAACCCTCTGGACCATGACCTAAACCACGATCTAGATCTTGATGGCACTCTCGATGGCCTTCCTGCGCTTGTCCATGCGGGCATTGGCCTTAGCACCCATGATACCACCACCCCAGTGGCGGATAGACTCCTGGTGCTTCTCGAGGTAGCCCTCCTTGATAGCGGAAACAAGCTTGCTGAGCTCGTTCTTGTCCTCGGAGCGGACCTCGGTAAGAGCGAGAACGGCAGCGGTCTTGTGGTGGACAACCGTGCCGAGCCTGGCCTTACCCTTTACTATAGCGTAGGGCTATGGTTCGTTAGAAAAAGGTGCTAATATAAGGGATGGGCTTTACTCACGATACCCATCTTGCGGCAAAGAGCAGGCAAGAACACGACGAGCTCAATGGGGTCAACATCGTTGGGGATGAGGACCAAAGAGGCCTTCTTGTTCTCGATCAGACCGACGACGTGGTTGAGACCGTACTAAAGAAAGAGGTTAGAAACAATGCATTGTCCGCATTGGAAGGCTTCAAATACCTTCACAACGAACGGCTTCTTAGAGACGTCCTCCTTCTTCTGTCCGTTGCTGATAGCAGTGGCCTCCTTAGTGAGACGCTCCTTCTTCTCGGCCTTGGTCTCCGGGCGGTACTTGTTGAGGAGCTTGAAGGCCTGCGCAGCAGTGTTCCGGTCAAGGACGTGCTGGAACTGAGCGATCGAAGGAGGAACCTTCAAGCGGAGGTTGAGGATCTTCTTCTGACGCTGAAGGCGGACATACGCCGGCCAGCGCACCATGCGGCTGAGATTGCGGGATGGCTGGATGTCCTGGCCGATGCCATAGTTGCGAGGACGCTTCTCGATGAGACTGGAAGGCGAGCGAAGTCAGAAAGGGTACACCATGTGTGAAAGGGCTTAAGGGCTTCCTTACGGGTTCTTGGCTGGCTTTCCCTTAGCGCCTGCCTTTCCCTGGGGGAAGGGGGCTGGTGCTGCTTTCTTTCCCTTTGGTGCCATTGTGTTCGAGGGCTGTTATTGAGAAACAGAATCGTTAGCGTATGTCGAGGCGGGTCATTGAGAACATGGACCATGGCCTTCGTGATGCGATAAGCAAATCCGGTGGCCTTCTTCGAGACCCCCACAAGACAGGAAAGCAATCTCGAGCATCAGGAATATGCATTGAGACGCGCTGACTCTAATCTGTGGACCACCCTTTTTACTTTCGCACCACGAAGTAGGTTTTGTCTCTAAGAGCTGGGAAGCGAGCTTCGCCAGACTCTATGCCATTTTCAACATCACATCTGCATAGCCTGCAAGAGAGCGCATGCGATGGATTGCAGAGGGGTGGTTCGAAGGGGGTAGCTTACCGTCGTGTGTTGATGGGCGGTCGACCGGATCGTGTTGTCTGAAGAGCAAAGTCCTGGTTCAGCGTTGGTGTTGAAGGTAAAACTTCGTGGGG